TTCGTTAGCTGTCACTGTTCTGTGGACTGTTTGTTGATTATTCGCTTGCAGCCGATGAATCCGTTTATCTCAGCTTAAAATGGACAAATGTCTGAATAACTGATATTTTTCCATCCAAGCAACGGTCAAAATAATACCCTGAAAGTTGTCAAACTGAGAGACAACACCACACTCGCTGTTCGTTCACAGCTCAACATTTTGCTCAAAACGCACTCTGTATCGGGGGCAAAAATGTGAATGGTTGTTCGTACACAGGGACATATTTTCTTTTATGACCGACTGCCTTTGAAGTCGATGTCCAATATGTGGGACGCCTAATGGCGTAAATGGGCGCCGTGAAATTTACGACAGACCCGCAGGACGGTATTTTTTAAACGTGAATCCGAATATTTTTGTGTCACTAAGAGTGCCAAGGGAAATCATTGTAAGCAATAACTACCGAATTCAGCTGATCTCGATGATCCTCCATGGCAGTCATTGGAAATGCTATATTTCTGGTAAAGAGGCTGGTGCTTATCGTTAAAGAAATGATTCAAAATGATCACTGAGTTGCTGTCCTCGCTATTAGGTAAATTACTTGAGCGTTTCATAATAAAAAATCGAGTATACGCACGAAAGCTCAGTTGCAACTATATATGGAAAGAACAGTATTTTAATTCTAAAAGGAAAATGGGATGCTCATTATCTGCGTTTTACGAAAATTGGTTGTTGACGCTAAGCTAGCCGCAGCACTCTCCCCAGTGTAAATCCCAAGTGGTTGCTGTCTATAATATTGAAAGCCGGAAACAGTTCCGAGTAATTCTCGTACCGGGATGCATCCGTTGTCCCGGGTCGGCCCGGTAATTTCTCCCAGGCAGCGTCCTGGTGGAAACCATCTGACCGCCGATGTGTCTTCATCTCAAGGCAATTTCCGCCACAAAATGACACCAGATACTTGTTAATAAAGATAATAACAGCTGAAATGGTGTCCAGCTGGCTTGACTTGCTTCGTGGGCTCTGTGAACCAGCACAGTTGCTTCGGCAAGCTAACAGATCGGGCGCATCATAATCCGAGCTCTGTGCGCAGTTTGATAAAATAGTACCCGATCTGTGAAAGCAGCACTAACTTTGACTGCCACAATTTTTAAACAAAAATACTTAGAGATGTTCCAAAAGGCTTACACAATGTAAACCCACACAAGTTTACATTATACCAGCCAAGTGTGGGCATTCCTATGTTTATGTGTAAATGAGAGAACTGGGTGAACGTAACCCACCATCCTTGCACCGTGAACATTCTTTTGAAGCCCAATATTTTAACTGTTTCTTCAATAAGCTATTCCTATTGCGACGATATCCAAAACCCCAAACTGCCTCGAAAACTGTTTTCCAGAAAGAGAGAAACCTTGTGTGGACCGGGCTTAGTCCACAAAATGTTCGTACAACCAGCATTATTTATATGTTTATACAAGGTCGACACACAATAAACCAATTCAGACACCAGCGTTGCCTGTTCCTGCATACCGACCAGCCAGCCTCCTTGCACTTTTTAAACAATAGAACCTGCCCACGGAATACATCTTGCCAGACGTCTTGAACAGACTTTAACGTCTCTAAAAGAAAACCGTGGCGCACCCTACCTATCAGTGTTCTTCCTAAAGTGAGTAGTTTTATGCTCTATTTGCCTCCGGATATTGACGTTCGTACCTTCCACCTTCTTGCTGATTTCTTACCCCCTCGGGAAATTCAATAGGGAAGGAATCCCCGCCTAGCAATCCTGCCCTTTCGGCGGAGTTATTGCGACAAAGTTTGCTTTTGCTTCCGATGCCCCAAGTTTCCCACTTTATTGCTTTTTTCTCTCTCTGCCCATAAAGAATTTACTTTAGTTAGTTTGTGCAAGAAAAACCAAGTGGCTGTTTGAATCGCACACACGGAAGGCTTTTCAAAAACATTCGCGGCAAGTCAGAACTCCCCAGACTCAATTTAAATTATGTAAAATCTTGTTTTGAATTCTAACAGCGCGTTGCAGCCCTGATGTAGAACTGTTTCATTACAGCAACGGGTCGCATTTGGTCGACTTAATTACTCCACTGAAGTGAGGTATTTTCTTCACGCGAAGGAGTTCCATCTACGTGATTAATATTTTAGCCATCATCACACAGTCTTTTGATAAGTTACCTTCGAAATACATCATAAGACAGCTTTTTTGTATAGAGGAATCACACGTGAGCAATATTCATTAGGCCTATGTAGAATCCAATTATCAAAATGAATGGGGCCTTCGCCATGTCCTGCAGTTTCAATATAATTTTTCACACATCATTAATGACATTAAAATTTGGCTATGTATTGTGGAACTGACAAGCATAATTTTGATTTGCAGTTTTTCAGTTAATTCATTATGGCCTACGATCTTAGTGAAATTAAGAGTGCACACAGTCCAAAGAAGAATAACGAGATTTATATTCATTTGTACTAAAAAGCACTTTAGCTGTCTTATGGTGCCTTCCTAATGGAACGTCAGAAAATAATTACGTAAACCACCATGGGCAAACCATTAGGGAGATTAAAATCTTGAAGTCGTTCGAAGGGCAGCCCGAGTGATTTGATCACACACAACGGAAGGCTGTCTCAGAGGGAGCAAATTTTGGCTAGTCCAAAAAGACCTGGAATTCATCTCAATTAGGTTATTACTTCACTGTCGTCTATACATAAATAGCGGATTTTGTCCAGTTTACAAGATGTATTGTTTGCGTTGGGAAGATGTTGATTTTAATAGCGGGTTTTTGCCCTTGCAATGACACATATATACGTATATAACACTGGATGCTCAGAGTTTGTCCAGGAGCTTGCGAAAAAATTCACAAGGTTATGACTCGGGTGGGACTCGAACCCACGACCTATTGCCATGCAGGTGCTTTATTACCCAATACATGTAGTAAACAATCACGGAATTTGATGGTTAAAGTTTCCCGTTATCGACATTTAGCGCCGTTTTCATTCATCTGAGAGCCTTTTAACCTTGAGCAATTAAGAAATGTTTCACCTTGTGATTCGGGAAAACGAAAATGGGCTGAGTGCGCGCACGCAGTGCTTGGTTACAGTTCGTTCAAACCCCAAATTACGCGTTTCTTTAAAGTTTTCAGCGAAAGACGCACCTCACGTATCACTGAATGTCACTTCGTGGCGCCAACAAGCATGTATCACTGCTTCTCCTAACCATGCAGTGCTTCGAACATTTTGTACAAAAAGTTTGGAATAAAATCTTTTGTCAACTTTGAATGGCGGAAGTCGTGCATGCATACCTACGAAAACAACCCGAAAACTTGCCACTAAGCGAAAGGGCGCCCTTTAGAATTTACAATATTGCAAGTACATCTGCAATGTTTTGCCTTGCTCGTGACTTTGCAAAATTTAATTTGCTATGAATGTGTCCGCTAACACCGAGAGTGCTTCGGTTCATCATACAAGATATTATCTTAAACTGGGCGAAGCGCATAAGATGTTGGAATTTCCCGATTCACATTTTTTGCCGAATGATAAGAGCTATAATCATCATGAGAGAAGCGTAGAAATTAGGTTACTAAAACTCAAGGAAAAACATGACGGGAGAGGTTGACGTCCGCACACGTATCGCATGGGTTCGTTTAATCCGTTGCATCCTTGAATTCTGAACCCGTCGACGGCCCAGACAGAAATACAATACGGTCGGGGGTGGCTGATGAATCCGACTTTCAAAGACGCCGTACGATCTGTTTTCTGTCCGGTGTAATTTTACGCACCTTGCTCACACTGTAATGAGCGAGTATCATGTGCCTATACTGCTTCCTTCAAATTATGAAAATGACAACCAGGAAGCGGCAGAATTTTTTTAAAGGGTCCTTTCTGATCGGATTTTTTACGAACCCCTGGTTTCATCAAGCTTTGTTGCTCAGAAATCTACATGGATTTGCAAATGTGAGTCTTGGTGTACAGTTTTCATTCTAAGATAGATGTTCTCTAAGGCTGAAGCTGTAGTTTGTCGTTTTCTTGAGTGTGACAGGTGCTACGGGTGCTGCAATAGTCATCCGATTATAGCATTTACTATATGAACAGTTCGGGGACCAAACCACAGTCTAGCGACGTCCCTAGTTCCAGCTTTCGTTGCTAGTTCAAGCGGCAATGACGTCATTTTCATCAGGTCACATGATAATGATGTATTTTTCCCGGGCGAGTTTGGGAAAATAACGAGATTTGAAATGCTGGCAGCCAACACGGCCACTTTTGCCGTTACCGTTGGAGTCTATGGCAAAATTGTTTTCGATCACTATTTTGGAAAATCGCCACGGTAAACATAAAATCTGCCACGATGAATCAATCGAGATTTATAATGGCAACATTTTCATGTATTAAGTAAACTTCGGCAAAGTTTCATTTTTTTCGCGTAAACGTTTTCATCGGCAGAGTTGGACTCACCTGCCCACCGAATTCGACACTTCCAGTGCAAGATTTGACCAAAAAATCTCCTTGATCTGCTTTAATAGATACCAAATGAAAGGAAAGTTTCATTTAGATCTTTGGTAGCCTGTTTCCTGTAAAGTTCATCGATCAGAGGAATTTGTTTTGAAGTTTCTGGCCGATAAAGAGATCGATGTTATCTGCGAACCGTAATCTAAAAATAGTTCAAAAATTACGTCATCGTTGCACAAACGAGCGGCGTATGCATGGTCTGGCGTCGTCGCTAGTTTGTGGTTTGGTCCCCGACCTGATGAAAGGGGAACTTTCTGTCCCCTTCCGAGTCAGGGACAATGCCAAAACGCTGTTTCATATATTGGATGGACGGTGTGACGCACATTCCTTTTACAACACATGTACCATGCACGGACGTAGCACAAAGGGAACGAAGGAGGTATCCCTGACTTCGGTAGTATATTGTCCTCGGTGTTGAGGGCGTGTACTTAGTCTACATGCACAATATGGAAAGTGTTATCCTGAAGGGACAGTTGAAAACAGAATGCCCTCTCCTCGATTGTTTGGCACAGCAGGACGGTACAAGCACGGACCTAGGAAACACAAGTACAAGTGTGGCATACACAGTGAGGACCTTCGTACCAGAGAAGTCCACATAATACAAGGTTAGAGGACGTAGTAAGCACTCACACATGACAACAATCAGCGTTTAACCCCCTCTGAAGAAGCAGCTACAGAGGTATTTTGGGGTCAAGGTTAGCCGTGGCAAAGAATGATGAGGAACAGTACAGGAAATTATAACCAAAATCCAGCTCGAAGGAAACATATGGGAGAAACATGAACATATTACTCGAGTTTTCTTAACCGCTTGGTGTGCTTGGTGCAGGCCTGGCATACATAGTGTGGACCTCTGCACAAAAAAGTCCACATGATGTACGATGGGGTAGTGTGGACTCGCACAAGTCCACACAGTGTTCACCCTCTCTGAAAAACAGTTTCAGAGGCATTTTGGGGTCAAGGTTATCTGTGCAAAACGAAGAGGAACGGTCCAGGGAATCACCATAAAAAATCCAGCTTCAAGTTTCCTTAACCACAGGAGAACAAAGGAAAGTCCACACTTTGTATGTAAAACAGGTATGGGTGTGTGTGTGTGGGGGGAACAACTTGGACATCTGGCGACAATTGAAACGTGACCTGTTTTCGTGACTAGAGGCCCTAAACTAAAACCAACGCTTTCTTAACCTCAGAAGAATAGAATGTCCACACTACCAAGTGAAACAAGCACTTGGAGGCCTCAAACTGATACCAATACTGTCATAACCCGAAGTGTCAACTTTCTTCTCCTCTCTGCAGATGTCCAGCCGTTGGGATGGCCGCAGTCCCCTCTGGCACAACCAGACGTGCGATGACCTGTGTGGGTGTGTGGAGGGGATCATGCGGGGGATGCGGACTCCCCAGATCTGCATGGAGGTGATCGGCTATCCCTGTCACCTTGTCAAGCAGCTGATCCGGACCACGTCGGTCAAGAGCTGCAGCGTCACCCTGGGCGGGAAGTGGTTCGAGTGCGACAAGGGCACCACGGAGTGTGTGGGAGGGGACTTGGGCGTCTACGAGGAGGTGAGACCCTTGGTCTTTGGTATTACACCCGCTCTGGTGTTAAATAAGCGCTGTGTGGTAAAGCTTTAACCAGTATCAGACAGAAGAGAACACGTTATGGGTATCATTAGCCGTTTGTCCAACTTGAAAATATTTTTTGAAGTATCAACAAATCCTCTTTAGCTCAACAACCAACAAGACCCTTAATATCAGTGCTGTTTATGGTCCCCGTCATTTGTACTAACTCAGAAGGCCATTTTAGATGCCGTAAGAATAATTTATTTACATCCCTCTGTAATTATTAATGTGTATGATTACTGAATTTCAAGATCACATTTTGTCGGGGAAACCCATACAAAAACCAGCATCAAACGTGGCCGGTAAATCTGTCTCGTAAAATTAGAATACCAATTTTAATAATACGTGATGATACGATCCAGAGTTATTTATTGGCCTTTGAAGGATGGCGCCAAATTGCCTTACTAAAATCTCTCGGTATTAATTAAGCCAACCAAGTCAATTGCGTTTTCAATTTTCCAACCTAATACTCTCTTAAATCATTCACAATGAGCGCTCTCGCTTTGCATTTCGAACGACTAGAAAAAATTAATGGCGTTTCATGCATCACCCCTAACGGCCAGAGGTCTCAATGCACTTTTAAAATGGACCCCCCTGCCACTTATGCCTCAAGAGAGCCCAGGGCAATTTGCTCAAATAGCTTGCTCTGTCAATTACACAGGAGAACTGTACTTGGTCAGACAGCGGTGCCGCCAACACCGCCTACCTTGGCTGCGAGACAACGGTTGGCAAAAACAGTAGCGTGACATGCGTCTTGTCACGTGACAGCGAGGTCGTAGGGAACTGTGTGAACAACGCCGAGTGTTTTTACAAGAAAGGTATGGTTTCATATCCGCCTTCCCGCCGAACGAAGCGGTTCCGTGCAACAGCTACGACGCTATATGACTTATAACAACGCTAAACAACCAGGGTTGCTATAGTTGCCATTTTTTCATAACAAAAAACATGTGCATTTCTCAATTATAGTCAATTATAGACGGTAAGCCACATGATCAATTATAGACGGTAAGACATATGAATATTAATGCTACAGTAAAGGTGCTGAAACCTTGTCTGTGGGATATTACCACCGATTAAAATGAAAATGTGACACATATTGAGATTTGGAGCTTTCATGGGGAAGGTAGCAAGCTAAGTAAAAAGGTCTGCGGTAGCACCATGCAAGGATATCTCTTTTATGAGCATATGTGATTCTGAAACGAAGTGGATGGTACTCAACGTTTCTGACAGTATGCTCTGTCCGTCGTCAGGAGACTTTCAACGTGGCACATATTGGCAAGCAATGTCAATGACGGATAAAAGGCCCTGCAACAATTCTATTGTCTTATTTTTTTTCATTGGAAATAAGTAAATTCAACTGCGATGTGTTTCAGAAACACCGTTAAATCAAGTACGCACTAGCAAGGTGCAAAAAGAGTTTGAGTGAGGCCAATTAAGAGCACTCGTCATCACCATCAACTAGACAAACAATCTACGATGGAAGGGGGTCGATGCCGGGTTATTTTCGCTCATATTGATGATTTCCATTTTCTATTATGCTTTTGTTTTCGTTTATTTTTCTTTAAAAGAAATTCAGGGGACCCCCTTTTCCCAGGCGCCCGTACATGTATGCAAATACAATATAGCTGGGTCTATAAGGCTCTATGGTTCTATTGCCCAAAGACGCTACAACTATCCTGCCTGTTCTTTGTGCTGCGTGCAGAGCGTGCGCACATATTATGGGACCTGGTACTTTTACTTACAAAATAAAATATATTTTGGTCCTGCTGCTCACTAGTATATTAATGTTGAGTGGCAGAGACAGCGGATAACATTGAGCTAATGGGGAGCAAAAGCTTTTGTTACCGTTCCTTTGTACTGAGACTAGGCATATAGAACAGGTTCTATGCTGAAGTCCTAGTTTAACTCCACGGTGATGGTTTTTAAGAAACTGTATGCAATATGGGCGTTTGTTGTGAGGGCAGAGTTGCAAAAAAGACGAATTCCACAACTTTCCCCAATGGTTAAAACAATAAACCAAATTAAATGACACCATGACTTTAGACGAGCACTCGTTTTCTAGAATCGGCTACTAACATTTAGCTTTTGAAATGGTTATCAAACGATCTCTCGGCATCCTTTTCCTCAAGCTCAAAGTTGTCAGAGGCACTTGGAGGTAATGAAACAAGACCTGTCTCAAATGGCCACGTCATACCATTTATTACACTAGTCTCGGGTAATGGTGAGGGAATCGCTGTTTTGAACTGAAGCTTATACAGCCGTCTCAAATTCTGTGCTGCTGACTTTGGTGAGCTTGCTGTGAATTTCATCAGATGAAAAACCCACTCTTTACACGCAGAGAGGCTGGATAGGGCCTAATAAACATGTGGAAGCGAATGACATGTGAATTGTCTAATTAATATTTTCATGGTGGCTAGGCTGATGCAATCTTCTGCAAAACTTGTATATGCTCTATGGTCTCCATGAATTTTTGAAGAATCTATGACACCTTCCCTTCAAGCTATTAGACACAGGTATTGAGTTTGAAAAAACACACAGGTGACAAGAAGGGGTAGCCGATGACAGAGCGCGCACTGGCACTGCCACCCTTGGAGGATTGGCATTATTTGGTCGGCTTTCGTGGTCATCAGAGACTCACATGCCTGCACGAATAAATTGCAAATTTGACTTCACAGACAACTGTTCATATGCCGGTAACACGACCAACGACTTCAGTTTCAGATTAGATGCTGAAGGTTAAAATAATTTCGGAGTTTCGATATCCCAACCTCCACTTTTAATGGAATGCCATTCACATCAACCACCACTTAAAACCTTCGGTCGCTGCCAGTTGATTCAAAACGTCAGCTTCTGAATTAGTTTCACGTCGGTTTTTAACAGTGTGTGTTATTTTTTTATTATCTTTTATTGTAAGCCCTCAGAATGATGGATTTGCTTTGGTTGCGCGCATCTGTCATACCAGCACAAAGCATGACCACTATGAGAACGTGCGTGTAAAATCGTGACAACAGGTCCCGGCCCGGTAATTGCCTAGCCTTGGCCGAGACCTTGTAATTGACTTGAGCATTGCGCTAATGTGAAACTGAGCTTGGCGTGGTACGGAGACTGTCCGCGTGAGCGCAAAGGTTGCACGTTTAATTTAATCGTACTTGTGCTGCCTAAAAGGTTTTGCCGAAACGTTGCAGCATGCTGAGGGGAATGCGCGACTAAAGCTTCGACGCCTAGAGAATGCTGAGACAGCGCACTGAAGAAGATTACTATCGCGGCTCTATTTTCAGCAAATTCTGCCACTGCAGTTGGCATACTGTTTGTGATGTTTTCTAGTTTTCCGTCTGCCAGCCACAAACTGAAGATGTATACAAAATGTTTATTTGCGGTATGAAATTGGGCGCTGCCGTTCACACTTGCCGCTCACTAGTTACTGGAAAACGAAAACAGGTTGGAAGGGGACAATACGCTCTCCAAACGAACACTGGTGTTTAGTTTTGAAAGTGTCATTGAAGTGAACGATTTCGGTGATAAAATGACATTTTTAAGGCTTCCTCTACTATTGAAATAGGGTTTAACGTTCAGGCAAGAAATGGCTTTTTAACAAATCAAGACTGAAAAGGGTATTGCGTCCTGCCTCGTACATAGGACATGTAGATCTTTTGCACTTAAGTTCACACTTCCGGTTAGGCATCTTCGATGTGATGCTTTGTTTGAGTTTGGTACTTGCGTATGTAGGTTTCTACCATTTTTGCCCCACGGTGCATAGCCGCAGATGTGCACACATACAAAGACGACAGTCCCAGTGTCGGCTATGGCGAACATAAGTGTCATTTATTGATATTTAGGCAGTAGCTTTGATTTTTTTCAAGATACATGTACATGTTTCTTTAATCATTTCAAGATATCTCTAACCATTTCAAGATGTGTGTAATTATTTCAAGTTACCATTAATACATTCCTGCAATTTAACATCCTTTGAGTGACGTTTCCAGTTATCTTGAAATCAATATCAAGATATCTCGCAATCCGATTCAAGACATCTCTAAATTGTTTATAAACATCTTGAAATATGGTGTGTTCATGGTTATTCGAGAACAGCAAAACCCGATTGCGACGACGGACTCGGAGATCTGACCCATCAGGGCAGTCAAAATTGCTCTTACGTATGCTTGGTTCCTGAAAAACCTCGCTTCATTGAAATGCCGGACTGACTCATTTCGAGGTATCGAAATGAATTTCGAGATATATCTAAATCGACTTTTAGATATCTCGAATCGGATTTCAAAAATATATCTTTAAAGGATTTTAAAGATGGATATAGAAATTGACTGGAGCGGGATTTGAACCTGCAGCCTGCGGAATACCCTACCGGTTGCTCTACCACCTGAGCTATCCAGCCTTAAGTGGGTGGCTCTTCCCTTCTGTCGATATCTTTGCTCGAGGGGCGCTAGCCAGAAGCCAATAAACCTGAAACACTACTCAGACAGGGATCACGCCCTAATAACACGATACAACCTGAGAATTGGTGAACAGTGATCACTAAGATAGGATTTTGAAATATCTTGAAATAATCAAGAGCTACTGCTTTAATATGACCAAATGTCACTTGTGCACGCCATAAGCCGCTACAGCCTTACATCAAAGACGGTGGCTTGAAGACTGAGGCTCATGGGAAATGCAGTGACATCAGCAGTGAGGTTGTATCACATTATGGTTTCAGAACATGTATACTGTGCGTTAGTACTGAAGTACCCAGTTTGCTTTTTTTTGGTGACGACAGTGCATGGAACATCACTCGAAACAGCTTTTCAAACCCTTTTGCTTATTTCTAATATTATCACATCTCTTTTCTTTACACAACGCTATTGGTCTTGTAGCAAAACACTGGAGGCATTATTTAAACATCTTTTCTGGATTATTCCTTGGAGAATTTTGTTCGGGACTTTGAAAGCATCGTCACACTTCAAACGCCTTCTCGTGTTGTCAATATAAGGGGCAGGGGTGAATTCCATATCAATGATTATTACTTCAGTCTGCAGATGAAGGCGGTAGTTCAGGCTGACTGAGCCAGCTTGTTTGCCCAGCGGATTTCCCCCCGTTCCACCTGCCCAAGTTTAATTTGCTGGTCCGCTGTGATGCTTCCGCATGGACAGTTTCACTACATCAAAATTGTTTTCGGCTCAAGCGAAGAGGGCCTTGTAATGATACAAGGGACAATGAAAGTAATCGCTTGAGCTCTTGCATAGCATTTTCCATGCCAAACCTTCAACAACTTCTAGCAAGGAGTATGATTTCTATGCACGTAAGTAAAAACATAGTCTGAAAAAAAACCAAAGAAACAAACAAACAAAAACAAATTACTTATTACGCCTTGCCTTTTAAATCGTAACTATTGTTATATTAGAAAGACACGGACAAGACTTTTCTCTTTCTCTCTTAGTTAAAAAGACCGACATTGTCAATGGTAAGTTTAGCTGTAGCTAGAAATGTCGTCCACTCAGCACGGAGTACTATAATGCGTTTTCCCTGCACTGTAACCAAACTAATATACCTTTAAATCTATATTATTTCATACAAATCACATTTAGGTCACTGCAGTAACATTAGCATCACTATAAGTATAGTTGTACTTTAGGCTGCTTGAATGTCCATCCCAAGTGTGCTTCGCTTCAAACCCGTAACACAAAGGTTGGATTCGGACAACACTGTTCCCAACTTCATATTGTGTGACTTCTAACGACTTATCTAAAAACGTAGATGGTTATGCTAGGCTCATGGCTTCAGTTAACTAAGGCAGATGTCACAACTTATTCACAAATCGGCCCTTTTGAATTGGAAGCGAGGTTAACTTTTATATTTTGGGAACCTGAGAATAAAAATGAAAGCAATAAATAACAGTTCATCACAAATTAAAATCATTTATGCTGATGAATAATTTATGATTTGTGATTATTATATCATGCCACATTTAAACGAAATGAAATAGAGGTATAGGCCTAGAGCCCAAAATAGAGTGGCACCCCTCATTTAACAGATTACCGTGAGTAAGATTGTGGGAGCACGATAAAAAATGGCCTCCCTGTGAATAAAGTCACGCACGCTCGCAAAATGCTGGGGAACAATGAGTTCTCAGTAAAGGCAGGTACCATGCGTCGTTGAATCAACTCCACAACTGACCAATGCATGGGCTTTCTCCATCATGTACAGTCGAGAAACGGCACATCTTCAGTTACCGATAACCTGTTCATTTTAGGGGACCAGTAATGACACACAGCACGCGAATAGGCGGGAAAAATACTCTCACATTAACCCTCACAGTCCTCAATCCTCTGATTTCAGTATGATTTTACATACACCCGAGAGTAACTTTTCTTCCCAGATTCGATGTATCCTTTGAATCCCAAATATATTACATGTATGTACAGAGCTTATAAACAGATGGATCAGCGAATGCAGACTCTATCTCGTTCTAAAAGTGAGGTTTTGGCTTCGTTTACAATAGTGAAGACTGTTAGAGGCACAGAGTCTAAAGGCGACTTTCCTTAATTTATGAGCGTCAATTCTGGCACCAAGCGTTGCGTATACGTCAAAATGAGTCGATTTTGACGGCCGAACACGATGCACACGTGTGCTATGTTATCATTGGTGTCACTTTTTTGTGTCTGTGAAAGTGAAACGCGTGGGCGTGCGCAACGCACACAAAACGTACATATTGAAAGGCGCCTTGATTCTTGCCGCTATGATTTGCACGCAATTGGGTTCAAATGCCTCTGTTGCCAAGTTAATGCATGGTCAGAAGCTTAATACTTTTTCTTGAACGACAAAAAAATACGCAGACTGACTTTTCTCCACCCGTGTAGATTTGTGCACGTATACCTTTGTCAGTATAATACCCTCTATACATTCTTGTATTTCTAGCTACTATACTCCGAGCACTAATGCTTTTACGTAGGCTTGTCCAAAGTGATGAATTTTGTAGCAATTCTGAATGTAGTTTGCAGTGAGATTTTGTAATACTAACGATTTTAACGTAGTCGGTCTCTCCTGATATAACCTTAAATTCAAACTTTGAGGCGAAAATACTGAACCACATTAAGCTCCATCCGTTGAACGCTTCAGTATAGACGTACATGTACACGTCATGAATTTGTTTAGGAAGCCTTACGCGATTATGAAAAATCCCAACACTTTGATAGTTTGCAAAATGGATAGGGTAGAAGATGTACTATAGTGGCTACAGCCGCTAGCGAGGTAAGGACATTTTTTTCTGAAAGAGATATGCGTAGGGATAAGATCATGATTCATTTGCGGATACGTTAAATTGAATAATCGTTGATAACCCCGAGATTCATGTACCTGCAGACACTGTGTGAATTCAACGACAGTTTCTCAGGTGAAGCAAAAGTGGTTCACATCGATTCACTGGCCACATGCGATCCCAATACAATTTGTAAACAGGCACTGGTAACTGATTTACAACATTCTTTGCTATTTTCCCAGAGCGGGTATCGTGCCCGGAAAATTGGAAGCCTTTCAAGCGGCACTGCCTCAGCCCACTCATGAATCACAAGACGTGGAACGACGCGCAAAACGACTGCAAGAGAAGATGGGGTGCATCGCTGCTGAGTCTGGACTCGTTCGGCGAGTACACCCTGGATGGTTTGAAAAGGCGGTTGTCTCCGGTGCCGGACCAGAAAATGTGGCTGGGGCTCTTCCGGGACACCGTAGGTTTCATTCCAATCAAGACAGCTTTCACTGCACCAAAACCTAGTCGGGGTGAAGCATTTTCTTCAAACGTACTCTGAACATATTGCTAAACATCTATCCATACACTAGGTAACTGTTGTGCTACCAAAAGTTTACATTTTGAAAGTATGACGGAACCATGTCAACCGGGGATACAACCTCCTTTGTCGATTTCAGGTTTAAATCACAATTTTAAAGTCAGTATAATTAGTTTGATTGGTTGTATTGTACTTAACAGCCAGGGTGTTCAGGAGCGCGAGAACAAACATGGCCGCAGCACAATAAACCCGCTGCGGATACGTAGTTGTCCTTCCTGTACAACACACGAAACATCACCGCTTCTGCAATACAGCCAATCCGATATGTTTTGAAAAAATAAACAAACTTACTTGTATTATTTATGCATTATCCATTTTTTTTGACGTGACAAACCCCATATGGACATATGCGCTCGATGTGTGTGAATTTGCATTCCCGTTATTGTGCCAAGTCTGTTCTGAAGATGCTCACTGCATTGGGGTATAGGGTTCTTATTGAAGTGTATTAATCGTGTGCCCTTCAACAAATATGTCATTCATTAAGGTGAACACCACCTTCCGGTGGGTGGACAATACGGACATCACGAAGCCCCAGACCAACTGGCCTTGGGCAGACGACCACCCGGTATCTGGTCTCAACTATGTCTACATGCTCAACAAGACATTCTACTCGGCCGAGTCCTCTCAGGTCCACCCCTATTCCTGCAAAATTAAAGGTCAGACATACTACTCAGTTACTTCATTCGTTTTAAAATAAGTACTTCGCGATCGGTCCATGCATACACACAAACGACAAAGTCATCAGCCGATTTCTTGACGCTGCTGCCTAATGGGCAGGCAATGGATCTTGAATTCTTTTCTGGGAGTCCGTTTTCAGGAGGCACGGGAAAAGAGTACGCTAACTTCAGCAGCGGTTGGACTTAAAATCTAGTTTCCATATGGTGGTAACGAGCGCCGACGGCAAGCAAGACAAGACTCAGACACTCGCGAAAGTGACGCTTTCATTTCATAAAAAAATAACAAAACGACGTCCGAAACCCTAATTTTTTTTGCATAAAATGCTTTTAGGTGGCAATACTACCTCTCCAAGCCAAACTGATTCTGCAATTTGATATAGTTTGTTTATGGTCAGCTGACAATTGAGGCGGCGTATGTTAATAATAACGAAAATGGCAAATTTTCGCCGTCCCTGTTAACGACAGTCGCAATAAAGCATTTCCACGATTGAGTATCGTTGGGAAACTGATGGGCGATTCTCTCTGCGTCCCTTTACGTCCCCATGCAAACCCAGGCTTTAGTTTTATTTGTGGCAAAGCAATATTCATGCGCATGTCTGCGTCAGCATCAAACAGAGTGGAATACGGCCAATGGTTGCTTTGTTATTCTACTGCAGTTCATGACAATGGTTCAACTGGCATGAAACGTTCTTTACTTCTGAATTCGCTACGTGTAAGTTTACTGAAAAATTAGTAAAGTGATGGCTTATGAGCTCTCCACTGCACGCAGGCCTACACTGAAAAGAAACATTCCATTGAATGCACTTTGGGACATATAATCTGCTATAGAATGTGTAAAATGTTCGCCCAATTAAAGAGTATTGCCCAACATTTTAAACTTCTGTTTGTTTTAAAAGTGTGCAAGTTAGTGTGTGGTCGTAACTAATGACAAATGGAAACATTTCTCTTTCTGCTAGTGTCAAAAAGTTTGAAATGTCGTCAGCCAAAACCCACTGAAATGCCTTGGACGACAGCCACAGACGCTTCCTATTGGACAACTGTCCACCCTCCCACGCTACCACAGCCGGTAGGCAAGACCTCTGTATCAAGGGGCGGACCAGAAGCAACTTTTAGGGGGGAAACTTGGCTAGGGGAACCCCCAAAAGTTGGAATTTTTCATGGTGTTTCCTACATTTTGGTGGCTTTTTGCCCACTTTTGGACGGTAGGGAATACAATGTAATAAAAATATCGTCTATCGGTATTTTAAAATGTCTTCATAAGCTTCCTTTCAGGAGGAAGGGTGGTTCATGGCCCCCGTTGCCTTGGATCCGCCCTTATCTGCTTCTGTGATGCCTGGACTCCATTGTCTCATGAAATGTCCGAATTTCAAACTCTCCCGAATTACATTAAAGACGGCTCATTGTGTTGTATACTTACATCGTCAACCTTAGGGAGAGAGGTTCGAGATTGTAGATGGTTTCACTTTTTCTTTTAGAAAACCAAAGACAGAAGTTGAATCAGCTTTTTTTTTAAAAACCCATAAGGTATCAAAAGGCATATTTTTAAAGCCATTTCCGGGAACATCTTCAAATTCAACCAGAAATCTCGAAACATCTTCTTCAGAAACAGGAGTCGTCCGTGGAGGCTCTCATGGAAGAACTGACGCAGGTCCGAGACGATGTCTCAAACTATCTGAAGACTTTTACGGTAAAACATTGTACATGTATTTAGTTCCAACCGTGGTATAGTATTTGATTAAACGGGTGTACACTCCAACTTTCTTAAGGTCGAAACGACACTGGTAAATAACCATTTGGAGTTTTCTAAATCTGAAAATAAAGTAACTTGTTTAAAAATCAAGAGACGACTTACGGAAATGCATTTAAAGATAGAGTTGATTATTTGCAGTCATTCAACAAAATGCGTTCAAAATTATTATCAAAATCGTTTCCGGTTAAAAGAGTGAATCATAGTAATCTCTCTCCCCGCGAAGTTCTTTCGTCTCGTTTTCCTTTTGAAGAAAGCAATAGAAGGGCGTCATTTGCAAAGATGTGTAGAAGTTTTTAATGAATCGGTGGACACGCATTTTGCTAGCATTCTTAAAACCGAGGCGCACGAGCACATTTTTGTGTTTGGGTCGAGTTTTGGAAACTGAACACACCCACGAGCGAATATGAGGCATTCGTTGTTGGTTGGGTGCAATACAAAACATAATGCAGCGGTACGCTTTTGAAACTAGTAGTAGAAATATTGTTCGTTTCTGCGAACTGTACAACAGTACTTTTCATACAGCTACTTAACGTTACAAAACAACCATCTTAGGACTTTGAGCAAGATTTCCGTTTTGTACAAATGGCAAATCGTCAAATGAACTGTCTCTGGTGACATATTAACGATTGACTCCTTTAACGATAATCTTTTTAGAATAAAAGCTTTTTTATGGTCATTTCTCTTTCAAAACGTCTCAACAGGTTGTAACATATATATGTATATTTCACCGTATGATGCAGTAATGGATAGGATGGCCCAGTCGTATTTTATCAGTCACTCCATTATCATCAGAGTGTCTGCTTTTACCGAGCAATAAATTGCTGATGAAGCTCTAAATGTTATAGGCCCAAGCCAAGCTGTTGATGAGGAGGTCATTTGCGTAATTACTGCACAACCCAAACACTTTTTCATAAGACACAATAACTGGTGCAGTACGCGTACTAACTAATTCACGAATTATCTTTGAACCCTACCTATCTTGACTGTACTTTCGTAGAACGATACCACCGCCTTAGATGCGATTGACGAGCTCATCTCTTTTCCGGAGGATTCTCGGTCAAATGCATCATCTACGGTAAGGTTTTTTCAGTACTTGAGAAAAAAGTTCACGGAGCCTAGTTTGTTTCACAACGCCCTTGAAGCAGAGCGCACTAATTCAGCTTGCCTATGTATCTAAAGGGTCCGTTTAGGCTTACAAATGAGCAGTAATGAAAAGTGGTTCGGGAAAGTGGTATGCCACGCGATATTAACCATTAATTTTTACATACAAGGTGGAAATCCGTCCGGTATATATAAAGAGTACAGGAAGAGTCGAAGGCAAAATAAGGGCTCGACCCCAGTGAGTCGTAGTCTGTGACATAACGAGATCACCTAATAGCCAAAGCGTGCTTGTGCAGCGCTTTCCGATACAGCAATTCACCGCCTAGTTATGGGGTTTGTTTTTTCTCAGTGTAAGAAGTAGCGTTAAGGAATGCAATTTGTCTACATACATGTAATTGCACATGGGAACTACATTCAGGCATGGAGTCCATGTCCCTTCCTCCATGATCCAGGTCGCCTCATTTAACCCAGCTTTCCCCTGGCAGGAGGTAGTAATTATACGTGTTGTCGCTGAAACGGTCTACACATGACAAAACCATCAGCACATCCTGTTCACGGTAATGCACAATCTATCGTAATGATGATACAGACGCACGACACAGCATCACTCTTTCTCATGTTGTGGACCTTGTACAAATGCAAAAGTGCGACGTGATATTATTCCCAAAGAGCGCTCCTATAACAAACTTATCAACACTCGTATTTCCCCAGAATTTGTACAGGCGGCCAAAGTTTGCTGGAAAATCACCCTTGGTTAATATTTGATTTTTTTAAATTTCCTTCAAAATGTACATTTATCCCATGATGTTTAAAGAGGGTTGTAATTATTTAGTATTTAGTAAATACGTGTATTAATATCTGGTATTTTATAGCTCCTTGGGATTTTTGACAATTTGTGAATTATTCTGTTATTTTTTACTGATGGCCAGCCATGGATTTAGCAGCCACTAATAGAAAAAACACAACTGTAGCGTAAAACAAGCAGACCCTATATCGATTTCAATGGGATTGTCACGATTACTATGCTGCACTGAGTTGACTTCTTATGTCGAAATTTTACCAACAGAGTACCCAAGATTCCTCTACCAGGATCATAGTGACCCTCGATTCCGTGGTCGACAGTTTAGCAGAATCGATAAATGGTCCCACCGAACCTCTCGTGATATCGACTGCGGAAATCGGTAACTCGAATATCATTGTTTAAGTAATGAGGTCATGCGTCTGTCGCGCTCTTCATGCTGTTTTGCCTCATTAATCGAACAGTTTCTGCCTAAGGGAAAATGGCTTGACAAGAGCTGGGGCAAGCCACACAAGTAATTCCTTAAAATGTCTCCCACATGCGCTGATAAAAATCTCTGTAAATGACTCAACTGTGAGGTTTTACAGAACTGTATACCAACTTCGCAAATGCTTGGTTTCAATTAACAACAAACAGTAATGTCTCGATTCTACAGATGACTCACACATACCTAAACGAATTCTTTCAGTTACATGTCACGCTTCTGTTATGTTACTGGAAACAAATTAGATTTACAAGCAATTGGCTGGTCCTCGGTTTTCCCGCCGCCCTGTCTCCGGTCTTTCAACAAGAGTAAGAAACGTTGACTGGTGCTATAGTCTATCAAGTCTGCGCACCCAAATCAAATTTAATTTTATCAGTCATGAATTTCGGGCACCCTCGCTCTTATTTTGTAAACTAGCGACTTGTTTCCTCGACAACTGAATTTTTGGATGGCATGCCTTTCAGTCAATCCATCTCATTAAGAAGTACAAACATGCACTATTCCCTGAAAAGGCATCTGATTGAATGCTAGCACCAAACGCTATATTGAGTAAACAGCCTGCAAACACTAAACAAATTGAGTTTGACTGCTAAGGCACTGGAAAACCAAAAGAATTTCCCAATGAACTATCACCGGGAGATTTATCATTAATGCAAAAGCGTAAATCTGTCTCTTGGCAAGTACTCCCGACCGTTAGAGGATCTCTCATTGAAAACGCCAAACCATTCTTAGCTGATCCCTTTCACTTGAAGCTGTCTTAGGGCAGTTTAATAACAGCGACAAATGCAACTCCAAAGAGCCTTAACTACGCCTACAAAAGACAAGAGACCGTCATGTATGGTCCGCTTCATGTCTTTATAAAGGCAAAATGGAACTGCCTCTTTCAAAATGATACTGAAACGATTAACCTTTACTCTATCAAAACATGCATTTTTTATTATAACAAACATTAGCATAGGGTTTGGCTCATGGGTGTAGCCAGGAAGGGGGGGGGGGGTAACACGCGTGAGTTTCAATCTGATAAACAATTAACAGTGGGGACAGGGTCAATCTTCATTTTTTCCGAGCAAGTAGTGACCTTCATCCCGTTTTATCTTTTTAAATTTCTTTTCCCCTCTTTCTCCTCCCTTTTTATTTTTATTTTAGTTATTGATGGAGGGGGGTGTCCAGCTAGCTTGACACAAGGATGAAAGACTTTATTTCTTAGCCTCTCGTGTATGCGCAGCAGTTGTAACGGAATGTAATACATGTAGACTAATTTGAAGCATCAGATAGGCTTAGTCTCACCACACCAGGAGACTTCTGTACAATAACACCTAATTCATCTTTTCTTTAGTCCTGAAAGTATTGACTTTGTGTGTGGAGTGTGAAGGTGGGGAAGCTCCTGGAGGGCAGTTGGGGAACCAGAGTTTCTCGTTATCCGTGCCAGATTCCGTCAAAACGGCTGGAGGTAAGACTATGGGCCCGCAACGGGCTAGCACGACCACTAACCATCCGTGGGCGATGAAAAAGAGCTGTGACCAAGGATTCTTTAATCATAGGTTATCTGGCAGAACCAGTCAGGACGAAGTAGTCAATTGGTTGCGTTGATTGGCAAACATTCTAAATCCAACACTTGACGACGAAAATCCAACCTTTCAAGATAAATTGATTCCAATACACTATTGAATCTTTGCATGAAATTGCGAAAGAAGGAACATAGGCCTACAAACAATGCAAAAGTTGATGCCACTCTAATTTGATAAAGTGACATAAATTTCCTTTGTTCGTGGTTTTTTTTGCACGCTAGCCACACTGGCTTTGTCCACTGCTGGTCTCCTTCACGAGCAGTTACCATCCAGAGTTGAGGATGGAGGAGAGAAAACGAGGACCGAGATTGGAAGTCTCGTCAGCACCATCTCCCTTCGGAGGTGGGACGGGGAGAGGGTTTCCCTCACCGAAGACGAACCACTCAAGATCACTTTCTCCAGATTGGAGGTACATGTACATCTATATATCAAAACGTTATGAAGTGGTTGTTGATCATGTCTGCATAAAGCCTCGAGGCTTCAAAAGAGGAAAAATAGTGACATCCTAAAGAACTTCCCCATAATGATTCGATTTAAATGATGACTCTTCATCGACTCTTCCCGTACAAAGAATGCAATACCACAGCAGTGTTATACAAACGACGGGAAAAACGTATTAGCTTAGTTTTTTGTGGCACTCCTGTCAGTAGCAAAATATGAAAAACGATTTTAGGTTTTGGCCAATAACTAAGAAAAGATTGCTCCAATAAACTGAGAAAATTGTTATAGACTAACGAATCAGTAATTTCCGCATATATTTCCTCAGAAAATTCCAGATTCAAAGCCAAGCTGCAGATATTGGAAGGTATCTGAAGGGTGAGTATGATTTGTAATGCAATCTAAGGCATTCCATAAACCACATTATCCCCCACAGGGAGCATCAATAAAACTTGCACTCACCAGTTCCCATATACTCCATGACGGACAGATAAGATTACAGCGACTGAATGTCTCGCCGAAGGACACACTTATACATTGGCTGTATAGAATGCAACCTGGAAGCTGTTGGATTCGACAAATGGTCAAAAGACAACAGTGCCCACACAAGAAACTGGAATGCAATAGAAACTGCTGCTACAACAAAACTTCAAAGAGGTTGTAGCTGATTGCAATATCTTACAGAAAACCGTAGCTGTGTTTACAAGCAAACTTCCCGTACTACGAGCAGAACGGATGGAAATATACCTTCGTATAGGTCTACGTTTGCCTGATATTGTCAGAAGGTATATTCGTTATTTGTAATGCGGCAAACGGGATGATGGGTAGAGCACATAGGCCTACCGTAAGATTAGGGTATATGATAAATAAACAAGTGTGAATTATTAACTCAAGCGCGTGGCCGGATTTCGTTGGAGAATTAATTGCAATGACTGTCATATTTACGCAACTGCTTGGCGTTTATTTATTGATACACGGTGTGGTCAATGCTGAAGTAATCTATCTCGTTGAAATATAATGAAGGCCTTGGTCGTGCCAAATGAAACAGGCTCCGCTACCGTCAAATTTTAGTGTAGACAGGTTTCCATCAGTGACAATAATCTTCTATGTGAATACAACGCATGTCTGCGCATATGCATGATTGATGAAAACGTGCCATCATGGGGTACACTGGATTTTTTCAGGTCAACTGTGGAGTTTGTAATTGTTTCGGAACACTGCCCACAGTTTATTGTGCTTCCTGGTTAAAATAATCATTGGTATAAAAATAGTTGTGAAATCAAACGGATATTCATAACAAACGAGATTTTGACAGATGGCTGGATTAAGTAGTGTCGGTTTTTGAGGGCCCGGCGCGGAGTCCGAATTAAGCTCTATCGTTTCTGTTAAAATATTTGTCTCGCACCGAGCCTTATGCGTCTTTCAAATTGTGTTGAAATCCAAGGTTCTGTAAAAATGTAATTCACATCAAAAGGTTTGGCATCAATAAATGACATACACACTCCCCACCGAATGCCAGTACTACTGCAAACGGCATGCATAAATGCTAATTCCTAATAAAGGATGGGAGCAAAGCGTCATTGTAGACCTATTTGCCTCTGTCATGTTAACTTGAAACTCATCAAACAGATATCTGAAACCTTGTATGCACGTAGGCCGGAGTAAAAACCACAGAGAGAGTGGACAATAAAGAGATAAAGGAGGCTTGATCGTGATCTCGTACACGTGTGTACACGTCTGATGTGGTATAAACGTGAAACACATAACTGACAGTGAACGATGGTTGTTTCGATATTTTTATAGCATTCCATTAAGTAATTTACATTTCACTGAGAGCGTGTGTCGGTCAGCCATTAAATTGATCCGTCCCGTGTACCGCACTAGCTAAGCACAAGCATTCCAGACTCAACCGATGCTTGTATAATAAAGAGCTAATAAGCAAATAGATCTGCCTTTTTAATGATGTGAATGTATGAAGTAAGATTAAAAACATGTATTTTATTGGCAATGTTCACATTTCTCAAATAGAGTATTGCAATGTCGTGTACTACAAAAATTTGCTAGTAGATGCGTCAAACTAATAACTAATTATACGAATTTGAAATGAGAATATAGCTCTCATCAAAGTTAGCTTATCCATTTTAACAAATTTTGAATGATGAGCAAATTGAATCGTAGAGATTATATCCCCTGAGCTCCAGTGTTGTACAGGCGTTCAACAAAGCGCGCTATCTAGCACTGACTGGTTTAGTGGTCTCCTAACATATGGCTATAGCTGGTCTAAAGAGAGTGCACTGGGGACAGGAGACTCCAATCCCACGTCAGTCAGTCTCCTTGCTTGGTCTTTTCCCCCTTTTTTGAATCGATGATTTTTTTTAAATTCAATTTCAGAAACAAAGGGGTGTGGTCATCTGAGGGATGTGTCGTCGCTCAGTTCAACGACACGCACACCACCTGCGACATCACACATCTCACCAGCTTTGCTGTCATCATGCGAATATCGCACGATAAGGTAGTCCTTGAATAACATGAAATATTACCCCGACTTAGGTATCATCAGGGTTGACTGGCCTGCAATTATGTGGGATACATGATAGACTTGACCAAGTTGGAATCCTCTGTGACGTACGTCTGCCTAAACGTTTATGCTTTGGATTTCCGCGGTTTTTAACGCTGCGCAGCGTTACTTGCTTCGCGCCCTCTCGTGTCCACTTATTACTATGAGTTCAGAAATCCGACTTGGCGAATCTGCCAACCGTTTGTACACAGCGAATGGGCTCATGCACCAAAAGTGGTAGCAGCCAATCACATTGCCGGACTTGTTTTTACATCGTTCATACCTGCATTATAATGAACGAGTCTGCAAGTATTACTACTTTGATTGGTTGCTATTCCGTTTACATTATGCAAGATAACGTCGTTCATATGTAATTATGAATAAATAACTTATAACCGACGGGGGTAGACCACGGACGTATTTAAAAAACCTGGACTTGCAACGCCTTTGTATGAAGAAGAAGCCAACCAGCGGCCATTTTACCGAGCTGAATACAAATGCGTGGGTTGGCTCCCCTCTATCGACGTCAGGAAGAACAAAGGCGGGCATTGCCTAGGAAAGCTTTGTATTCGGCTTGGTAAAATGGCTGCGAGTGGATTCAATGATCTGTATAGGCTGATTAAGGGCATTAGTTGTTGTTGTTTTGTTTTAATGGCGCTTTCAGCAACTCAGGCTATTTGCACCAATAACTGTACGTTTAGTCATACACTTTATTAATCAGCATCACATTACGGAGTTAGGAAGAAGGTCCAATTTTAGAGGAAGGAGGAAACCGGAGTACCCGGAGAAAACCTGCGAGAGCGAGTATGGACTGGAAACCAAATGCACTTAAAGCCTGGGCCAAGCCGGGACTCGAACCCGGGCCTCATTGGTGGAAAGCGAGGAAAGAACCGCTACGCTAACCCGCTCCCCGATTAAGGGCATTACGAGTCTAGATTTTATTATAAACGTCCGTGGGGTAGACACAGGGGCCGAGTTCGGGCAGCTTGTTCCCGTATGTTCACGAACAGCTCGAATTGTTGTTCGTGGGTCAGCCGCTCGAACGCCGGGAACAAACAACCGGTTATCGCTGGTAGTTAGTGACAAGCAACATGCAACATGGCGGCGTCCATGTAGGGTACGTTATTCGAGAGTTAATGTTTGGATGGGCTGAATTCTTTTCTTTATAAACAGGAATATTCATTTCTGTGTTACGGAAAATAATTAATGTTAATTTTGCAAAACTTCCTGTTGTCTATGGCTTTGGAAGCCATATCTCTACTTTTTGCAGCTGTTCAAAAGTCAAAATCTCACGAGTTTTTCTGTGCGTTCCCGTAAAACCCTGACGAGGAGGTGGTGTTTTATCCTGTTCCGAGAACAGTGTTCTTAAGTCGTGTTCCTGCCGTTTGAGCGCGAGAACAACAAACCCGTGTCAAGAACAGGCTGCCCGAACTCGACCAGGTTGTACAATATAGACTATCGAATGAGGGCGTCTGATAAGGGTTATGCGAGCTGTCGAGCGCCACGAACGTGTACTGTGTATAGGGCTGGGTGGCTGAGTGGGAAGAGCAACGTTAGTCGAACTTGATTCAAGTCTGCAGATACATGATAATTCAAATGGCCTATTTCTTAAGAAGTAAGGAAACCTTGAATGTTCCAACAGCTCACAGTTCATGATTTTGTGTGTTCAAGTGACACTTAAAACCGTATGAGAAACTCTAAAATGTAAAGTGCTTCATACTACACAGTACAGTCTCTGCTTGAATGTGTACATCTTGCAAAAGTCTACCGAGGATAAAACAAAAGTAACGTTAAGTTCATTGACGACTTTTGTTCTGAACCGCACAATTAGAGTTCACGTATAGTGTATTTCGACCACCAGAATTACAAGTCATTACTGCAGTGGCACAACGCTCGTGAACAGGTGGTACGCGAGCGTTACATGCCTCTTCGACCAACATGTTGGTGTCGTGATTTGTCAAATGTACCCGCGCGTCAAGCTGAAGAATGTGCGTGTGATTGCAGTGCCACCGCAGTTGTGGCATCTAGTCGGATTAGTCTTTATGGTTCTGTAAACTTCAAGTCGTTGTACATCAAAGCAGTCCTTTATACTAAAGATTGTATAGCGCCACGCAGCGGTGCAAGATGGAGAGCTCTGCCCCAAAGGTGTAAACTCCATAAGCGCCATTTTAGCAAGCAATACACCTACGCAATGCAAGTTAATGCACAGGTGCAGGAGGACCAGATGGGCAAGGATTTTTTCCGTAGGCGGATGAGTAAAAAGTATGAACTGCGCATGCGTATTTTCCATAGGTAGGTTGGGGTAATTATCATGGCGTACACCGTGACTTTTAAGTATAAGATACAACAAAAGTGCTTTTCTGGCCGACTTGCATCTTAGCTCTGTTAGAAGAACGTTATCCTTAGAACCAGGGTTCGAATCTATATGTACGTAGTGATCTTTTTTTCTTATTGTAGAATTAGTTGGTTGGAAGATGTTTTTATAATAGGAAAGTAAAGTCCGACATTTGCCTTAGAACTTTAATTTCTAAGTGTCAACGCTCATATAATTTTCGGTCCCCCACCTACGGAAAAAAAATTGCGTGCGTGCCAGTCGCAGCGTCTGCACCTGCGCATTAACGTGCACTGTGCAGGCGTGCCGCTTGCTCAAATGGCGCCCAAACCATTACGGGGTTTTGCGCGTATTCACGGTGAAGTTCTCCATTTTGCGCCGCTACGCAGAGCTATATACAATCTTTGCTCCATACTTTCCTCTTTTTTGTCACAAACAGGAACCACTGCCAGTAATACTGGACTACCTTACGTGGGCAGGATGTGCCTTGTCTATAACATGCCTTTCAATCATGCTTATCATCTTCTTCAGCCAAAGGTACAAACGTGGTTTCTCTGTCGTTCACAAAGGAAACTGATTCTCTCTAAACACTGATATTCCGTCTTCACTGCCTGTGACGAAGTCTTTAGGTTAAAGACTGCATGTATGGATGTCATGGGTTCGCTGGCAGTATAGGTTCGCTGGCAATATTTTTTCCAATACAATAAATTAAAAGTCTGTATTAGCCGATTCAATAAGCAACTACCCTTGCGCAATGTCCAACTGTGGAGCATTGTTGAAAGTTTGAAAATTGTTTTCAAAGAAGCTTCTGTGTATTCAACATGACAGAGTTTTTAAGTCGTTTCAGAGATATTTTTCTGAAAAGTCATTAGAAACTAAAAACAAGAACACACCTCACGGTAAGGTCTGTTGCATAAAAGGCACCAGTAGCGCATATTTCGCAAACTGTCCTTTCAAGCTTGTTTGTGGAATTTCAGTTAGTATTTGTCTGCTATGTCAAACGTTGTGCACAGTAATATCTGTGCATATGAAACCATTCCTCCTAATGAACTTACTGCAAACTATGTTCAATGTTCAAAAAGGTTTTCTTACCCCTGATCTTGAAGAAGAAGGATCCTTGATATCTGAATGTTGGTGTCCCTTAAAGGCTTGACCATTTCTTGGGTTTTATCCTTAAGGATGTACCGGGCAGACAGGAATATCATCCACATGAACTTGGCTATATCTCTCCTCCTGGCTCAGCTTATATTCGTCTTTGGCATTGACAGGACAGAAAATAAGGTGAAACATTTTAATAAGCTCGTTTAAAATGTTAAGGTTTACCGTAAGTATGGCTTGCACTTTTCATTCTATCTGTCAAAGGCAAGTTGTACAAGTGTTTTCTTATTAAGTAGTAAACTTATTTCAGAGTCCACTCAAACCTTACTAGACTTTAACTCGATTTGAGGCTGGTTTCACATTTTTACGCTTCAACCTGTGAATTCAGTTTCTCATATAAAGTAAACTTATAGAAGCTGAGACTGAAAATTCCATTAAACTGAACTTTCACCGGTTGCCTTTTGGATGACAGGGTGTCTGCAAAAGTGTAGGTATTTGTGTGCATTTTTTCCTCCTGGCAACGTTCTTCTGGATGCTGAACGAGGGCATCTTCCTTCTCTCCAAGACGACTTCAGCCAAGACGAGATGGCTGAGACTTCCTACTTACTTCACCCTTGGTTGGGGTAAGAACGTTCGCTGGCTCTTCAAATATACCACCCAAATTATTGTCTTGGTAACTCCTTGTTCATCAAAATCAATCTCAGCCACCTTTTGTGGTCGCATCTGTTCTTTGAGAAGTGGCGATGGGAATATAAACAAGGGAATGTTTAGTCTAACGTAATTGGTCCTTATTAGCTTTCAAATTGATCGAAGTTAATTAATTGATGACGTGAGTTCTCCAATCTCCTGATGAACATTATTTCCCCGAATTTGCAAATCAAATGTAATCTTTCCTCGTTTTGACGCTTAAGATTAAAACCCCCAGATATAAATGATCGCTGTTCTAATCTTGTGGCAGAAAACACACTGCAACAAACGTAATGTCTGCAGAAACACTGCTGCTCCCCGGAAGGAAAGTAATTGCAATGTTCCCATGTATATAATCAGTGAAATTGTAACTGCTGTAAATATCTACCTCGTCCGATCTTCCTTGCAGTATTTCCTCTCGTCATTGTTGGGGTCACCATGGCAGCGTCCTTTGGTTCTTACGATACCACTGAGAGGTAAATAATTCGCCCCCACGATAAAACAAGGCGCAGTATTCGTGTAATTGTAGAGGGCAATCCAGTCAGGACGACAGCGATTTTCAAACATAGACAGCTTGTTAGAGTGGCCTCGTGGCCTGTGCGCAAGGGCACCACTAACGTCACATGCCAAATCTGACAACAAACTAGTCTCCCACAGGTGCATTATTTAGACTGGTTAGAAAGTAAGTGTCGACAATCATTGATGCATGGCGGTGATTGGCATTTGCCCGCTGTTCGAAGGAGAACCAATTGTCTACCAGGAAGGCTTGACTTAAAAACGATTGCCAACAGACGCAGAAAATTAAAATATTTACAAAGCGGAATGGCGGAAGGCCCAGAAATCCAGGGTTCGGCAGTCAATTGGTGATTGATAGATACGATCCACGCCCCGTTCGTAAGCCCTAAAAATATGCCCCATTCCATTGAACAAAATTCCAGACGTATTGTTCTGGCAAACAGAGTGAATTCCGACAAACCTGCGTCTGCATGCACCTGTCAAACCCAATTCGGAGCAGTTGTAAATTCCATCCCAAAGACCGCTTGTTGACACAATTTCTCCGCTTGTAAATCAAAGAGAACTTTCGAGAAACAAGTTGAAGGAAGAGACTGTAATAAATGCAGTGCGCCTCCAAGCGGCAGCGACTGACTCGTGTCGGTGACACTTCCACGCTGTAATTGGCATCATTCATTAACAGGACATTTCTTTCTTTTTTTTAAATAACAATTGGTTGAAACTCCTATAATTTGAACTATGTTATCTCTTAACAACATCCATTCACTTGTGAAGAAAGGAAATCTACCATTTGACATAAATTCTTTTCGCGCAAGATATAAAACGATGCACCGACCTTTGATACTGTTACCTCTCCAGTGTTTACAGACATCGAGTTTATCTGAAAAATAATGATAACACGACAGTGAATTTCGATAGTACCTCGTTTCGTTTAAAAAGAAGAAGGGTCTGTGTATTCCTGAGAACAGGACTTTAAAAAAAATTCTAACAGACATAATAAGCATTTGTGGAACGTGAGGCGGCACAAATATTTTATATAAGAAAAACAAAAGGGAAAAAGGCATTTATGTTTAAAATATATTCAGAGCATACACGTATAGGGAAGACTCTGAAAGTAATGTGTTTGTAACGATTCAGTGGGATTCGATAAAAATCATTTTAAAAATGGTGAATGGAACCACGTGATCACTTAAACTAAGAAGGCCCATTGGGGGTACTATTTACGTGTTTCATTAATTTACTAGCATCGCTTTCAGGCCTCGCATATTCATTAACATTTCCTAATTGGTTTGTTTAGATGTTGGTTGACTGTTCAGAACGGTGGAATCTGGGCATTCGTCGCTCCGGCTGCAACAGTCGTCTTGGTAACTACTGCTCAAGTTGTTATCTTCAAATTATGTGCTGTTTTAATTTAATCTTGGCTTTTCTGAGGTACAAGCCAGGAGTCTCCTTTAAAAATATAATCTAAAATGTTTTCTCTTTCCTCTTATTTCAAAATCCGTCTTCTTTCCCCTATAGATCAATATTTTAGTTCTGGTGCAAGTCATTCGTGTATTTCTCAGCCTGAGAGCGAATATGAACAAGAACAAAGTCGAGAGAATCAGGTATAATTTTGTGAAAAATCAAGGAATATATTTGCGCTTATTGCGTTGCATATCTTAATCAACTGAATGGAAATATTTGGAACTACTAAGTTTTAAGATTATATATTTTCGTTATCGAATCAAAAGACAAACTAATCGTTCATCACACAAATTTTAACATCTTGAAAAGCGTCAGCATATACATGTAATAACCTGCCTATCTGTTCTTGTAATGACTGCTTCGACTTTAATGAATGATGAGATTTTCTTTCCCTGGGGAAAAATCAGAGCAAGTTTTTAAGAAGTCACTGGAATATGAAACCGTTTTTTAAAATTTTAACATGCTCTTCGGGTATATTGGCTCGTATGAATAAAAAGTAGCATTTACGTTTACTCCCATTTTTGAAGCATTAATACTCGTGTTCGTATGAATAATAATGAAGCAAATGGGTTTACTTCAGTGCAATTGCTAAGTATTCACGTATTTACTTTTTACTACTGTGCTTGACAAAAGCAGTTGCTTCAGTTTGCATGAATAAAATTGAGTAAGTTCACAGAACTGGAGTTTTTACTTGACATTTTTCAAGACTGGGTCAGGGCAAGCTTGAAAACGAGGAGCATTTACTTATGTTCAAAATGGCAGCGTTCATGAATGTCATTCGAAAGGAAACGCTGTATGCCTTTAGGAGGGAATCTCAAGAAACCAGATGCAGGCAGCTGTACCGATTTGAGAGAGGCAGAGCAATTTTCTTCATCAAGGTTTTTGCGATCAAAATTACTTCCATCATGCTTATCTGCCATGCTGAGGTCTCAAGATACAGCACCGTGCTGCACTTCGCGCGTCTGTGCGTCAGACAACAGAATCCCTATTGTGTAAAAAACATTCGGATATGCAGTCAGCCACAAGCATAAAGCATTTGCTAATATTTATACTAGTAGATGCTGAACAGTAAAAGAAACATTTTATTCCTTCCTACAAATTCAAGCATTTGCTTATTCTTAATGGCTTTACCTCTCAGTAAATGTTTTTGCTGTTTGCTTGAACTTCATAGCATTTTCTAGTTTTTATTCATACGACCAATTGTTCATCTTTTTTTTCGACTACAGAATAGCATTGCGAGCAATCCTCTTGACATTACCGCTGCTGGGGTGCACTTGGTTGATCGGCATGTTGTCTTTCAATTCAGCCACACTCATCTTTGCCTACATCTTTGTCGTCATGAATTCTCTGCAAGTATGTTCAATTTCTTTCACCTGACTGCAGCTCCTTTGCAAAATAAAATTATTTAAGATGTACGAAGGGCCCCTCTTCAGCTAAACTTTACCACAGTGGCTGTGGATTAATAAAAAGTGAAGGCATTATAACAAATAATAGTGACTGGAAAGACTAGGATACGACATTAACGATAACAACAGCTGATAACATTGACGACAACAGTATTTATTGCTCCTTAATTAATTTGTACTCTCATTTCGCATTCCTTTTAAGGGTGTCTTCATATTCATCCTCTATTGTCTTCTGAATGACGAGGTAAGGCAGCCTTAGCGCCAAGACGGCCGCCAGGGGCGTCGATTTTACGTATTTTCTGGTCTTTGATTGAGTTATCCTTGCTTACCATTTTTGTTTGATGGGCAAGATATTTTTGATATGTTTGTAGTTTTCATACAATCTCAATACAAATAACGTGGTACAGAAGTCCATTAGTATACTTTTGAACAAAATATAGGAACCCCATCTCATGACATGACCATAGTATTTCTCCAACACAAAGTGTTTTTATCGCACAAACCTTGTGTACGGCACCTGTGAGCAGTCCGATTTTTTTTTACTGTTTACTAAAACAGAGTAGGATTCAGCTAGGTTTGCACAGTTCTGTTCCTCAGTATCCCAACTCTTTTCTTTGATTTGCATGTTTTGTTTAATTCTAACACGTCGCGGCCTCCTTGGATATGACTATACGTGCGGAAAGGTAAGGAATGCTATTAATGCACGGTCGGAGAGGGTTAGGCGAAGCCGCGTGGCTTACTCCCCGCCCAACACCAACGCCGCCAAAATGTCCGACCCCAAAAAGTCCGAATCGCTAAAAGACAGCAAGATAGTTCCGAAAAGGTAGGGTGATTCAGCTTTTGACACGATTGCAGTGTTCGTGTGCCTTTTCACCGCTGCCAAAAAGTTACTGCTGCTTCAAGTCTTCTTGTCATCGCTTGAGTCTTGTGGGCCTTCTATTAAAAAGTGTGCCATACACGCGATCACGGCTTGCCTGAATATAATAGTCATGCTTGTATCATTTGCTTCTGTTTTGTTAAGAAATGCATTGGTTGTATGTTTGTAATATAAGTATGAAAATGATATATTAAATTTATCACTCAGATTCAGATTTGAAATTGTTTAGTGCTTGTAAATAAGCTACCAAAGATACGTCTATACTATGGCTCCACACCCCAAACTAACCCTCAAGTCGGTGTGATGTTTCCTGATGGAGGCTTTGCCGACGACATGATTCAGATTCAGATCACTCAGGCTCTACTTTGGTCTTCGTCCAGATTAATGTAAAACTAACACCTATTATTCGAACAGCAACCTATAAACTCTGTCGACCGTCTCTTTCTGTCGAATTGTCGACTCGTGCTGTCGCTTGCAACCTAGGGAATCATACCCATTTCGAATGATAAATTCGTAAGCGTAGAGCACACAAACGAATGAGATAAGAGTAGGTTCTACTAACCTCCTGGCTGGCTCTCTCTCCTGTCCATTAAAAGTCCACACCAACTAACGGGCGCCAAGAAACAACTAGATTTATGGTAAAAAATGCCGTGCACTCTAAGACGCACAAACGCACAAACCGTCAGAACTGCATTTCGCGGTTCGCGTGGCTGCGAGTCCAATAGACCGTATTCGCGGGGGACCAAAGTTCAATCAGATTCCCAAACGTAGTGTATGCATTTGGAAACGTTAAATTTAAAGAACCAGACTAATCTACGATTTCATTCTGCCTCCCAAAATCACCTGGTACCAAAAAGAGTTTCAAATGTATACCTTCAGGATTACGACTGAAATTCGGCCCCCTGCGCGGATACGGTCTATTAAGTAAACAAGGGGTGACAAAACTCAGTCCCCAGTATCAATGCACATCTAGAGTGGGTTACAGTTGCTTTTTTTCAAATGTCTTCGTTCATTTGCAAATCATCCTTTGCTTTTTAGTAATAAACATTCATTTCACTTAAGCGGTTCTAGTGGGCTGTCTTAAATCATTTGTTTCTTACATGGGATTTGCGCGTTCATTTCCAAATCGTCCAAACGAATCATTTTGCACCTCTCCACTTGGGTTAAGTATGAGACAAAAGACGAATGCCATTTCATGTGCTCATACATCCAGTCATACTCTTAACAGTCCACCGGAAAAAAACATCAACCCTTGAGCCAGAAAAGACCCCAATTGAGAGCCATCCGTTCACAGGCTACTTCCACAGACAGTGATCGAAAGTCCTTACAATTAACGTCGGTCTAGTGTTTCCAACGATTTCACTGTTAGTTCTGATTTGAAACATCTTCTTCAGTCACACTCATATGAATTAGTTAAATTAATCGAGCATATTATTCTTTATTCGAGCCACAGATAAAGAAGGGCCTGCGGAAGCGTCTTGCCCTGCTGCAAAGCCTTTCCGGGCGGACCAGCCACACGCGCGCCAGCCGGGTAACAAGTGGGAGCAATAAGACGAACCGGCTGAGCAAGTCCATGCCTCCCGAGCAAGACGCCGCCAGGCTGTAGATTAAAGTTACTGGTGGTTTGACCAGAGCAGACTTCACTGCAGTGGGTAGAGGTGGGACAGTGAGTTATCTGTTCGGCACGTTATGGGCTTGGGACGGGGTGACATTGGATGGGGTGCCAGCAGACGCTGTCACTGCGTGCAGTGGATTAGAGGGTGGGAGTTGAGTGTTTGGTACAATGAGCTTGGTTGCAGCGGTGGCAGAAGAATAATTTAAACCCATCAAGCATCAGCCATTTAAACCCAACCCTGGACCTGCCAAGGGGGGAGGGGCGGCTCCCAGTCGAAAATCTGCAGGAGGAGGAGTGTAGGCCCTGCCTCCTCCCCCCCCCCCCGCTTACGACGCCAGTGTAGTTGGTTGAAGTTGTAGAAGCATTTGGTGGGAGAATTTCACTTTTGAGACTTGTTAGTCTGTTCACGTTGCTACAGACAGAACGTTGCAGTGGCGTATCCAAGTTCTGGGTCGAGAGTTCCAGGAAGGTTTGTAAGTCTTTTCATCCGTAAAACTCCCTCTTGCGTCCAAATGTGCCCGTACCTTTTCTGAATTGTCGACACTTTCAGTACCTTAAAACCTGCAATATGTCCCAAGGGAGCTGGTACCCCCCCCCCGGTGGGTACGCCACTGCGTTGGTTGGTAAGTGGAAGTGTAATTATTTGGGTACATGTACATGCTGATGTACCAGCTCATAATTTGGATCATTGAGGAATACTTACTTAGTCTTGAGGATATGTGGAAATGGAGGACGAACCAGGTTGATAGGCCTACACTGACAAATGCTGTTATACCCGGCAAGATATGCGACGGAGCGGTACCCTTTTACATGTCCAAACCCTATAGACACTCTTGATCATTGTTACCTAACACCCCCCCCGTCTCAAAAGAATTCATAAGATTCCAATATAACAATGACTAATGGGGGGGGGGTTCTTCTCCGCCCTATTATATTGCTTTAAATGTATAAGAGTGGTTGGAGACTTGGAATGATGTCCGTGCCAGGAGCAGAGGATTCTGTCTGAGTAATTCAATCCAAGTATATTCATATTCAAGGTATGAGACGGAGAGAACCCCCCTGCTTTGTGTTGGTCATTGTCTCGCAGGAATCTGGGGAATTCCTTTCAGACATCTTGGGGGGATGTGTTAAGTAACAATAGTCTGGAATGTGTATAGGGATTGGACATGTTGGGGGGCACCCCAAGGTCTCATTTCTTGCTGGGTATAAGTATATTTGGCGTTGACTTATGTAATGACCAAGGCAAATATGGCTGAATCAGAGTTCTCACACATGCAGTGATGTGTTTGTGTAAAAGAGGGCTCACACTTGACATAAAAATCGCAAACACTGCCTTTATTGTACTTGTAGACAAAACTGTTTTGTGTGTTTATATCGGTGCTTAGTGGTAGGGCCTTTTTTTATTGATTGATGGTTTCATTGATTTACGTTTTATATTTATTTTAATATACTGTGCTTGTGAAAGACCGATAGACTCCATTGGCAGGGATGTAAGTAGTGACCGCTGACTTAATTCTTAAAGAGGGAAGATCTGTGAAGGAAGCGCCAACGCTACGAAACACTGGTAGCCATTGATCTCCATTATAAAGTGGAGATCAATGCCGGTAGCTTATTACTGGACTGAAGAACGCACGGGCATTCTGTGCACACCTGAAAGCGTTGACCCAGACTCGGGTTAAGTACGAACTTCAATCCAAACGGAGAAAATTACAAGGAAACAGCACCCTCGCAAATAACGGCGTGGACTTACGAACGTGCCAAGAGTGTTTTAACTTTAAGATAAAGATGTTCTGATTTGTGTAATGCTCCGTATGTGTTAGATTGCCTTTATTGAAAAAAGGAAATGTCAATATTTTACAAATTCGTGCAAGATATTTAGCGGACTATTATCTACAGCGTGTACTATATCAATACATTAATGACTATTAAAATATTAAAAGTCGAAAAAGAGTAAAATATACATTATATAAATTTTAAAAATTTCATTGTTATGTAATGTGTGTTGCCTTTTACAGCAAATTACGCAATTTTAAAGAAATGTATCAACTCAAACAATGTCGGTTTGAGTTGAAAAATAAACGTGTGTAAAGCTGTCTTTTGAAACCAGCCGATGATGTGTGCGTATGTTTAGAAAATCTCCAGCAACTTAAGTGCCGTTTGAATGTTGAAATATTGACGAGTCTTGTGTACGACATTCACCAATGTACTTCGAATAAATACACTTTTCGTAAATTTCGAGAATGTGCGTGCCTTTGTCTATTCTCTGTATTAAGGAACTCTTGAGTCCCAAATCCGTTGTCATTGGCTCCCACGGCCCAAGGGTCAGTGTACAGCAAAGATTTAACGGATTTTATCGACACCACCTTCTGGTTTACCGTTTAATGTCAGTGGCAAGGACGCAGCCCCGGCTCTGGAGACAGTCACGTCAACTTGTGCCGGGAATTTGGAGGGGGGGTGGGAGAATGGGAATTTGTGGGGGATGACTTGCTGTAATGTGTATTTATACAGTCCTGCAGAACCTTACATCAAAACGGCATGGATGTCTTTATGTTGTTCTCCCTTTTAGAGTTCTATTCGCTCTTTGCACGCTGCCGGCAAAGGTATGCAGAGCTTTGAACTGGAAACTTGTACAATCTCTTCAGAATCGCATCAATGCAGCTTTCTGAAATATTGTCCAATCGCATAATGTAAGAACGCAGCACGAGCAAAATTACTAAGCAACACACGCGAATCGCTGCACCGCCAGTGCATGTATTTATTGTGTGAAGCTGCCAGATCGAGGCTGTGTATGCCTATGGCGGCAGCGGTAAAGAGCGAATTGAGTACTGAATATTGGTTGATGGCAAGTTCAAGCACTTTTTCTACAATCCACCTGAATTTGTTCTCTCCGCGAAGTGTGTGTGGATGGGGTGGGGGATGATTCAGTAGCCTATCCCCCCTGGTCAAAAAGATGAGGGGGGTGAATAACCCCATCCTCCCCTCCCCCCAGGGTGTACGCCCATGTCTGAAGATGACCAAGATCCATGGAAACCTTTATATCCTCCCAGCAGACAGAGTATTCTTGCGTCCATAAAGTATCACAGCGAAATCACAATTGACCTACAAATCGGGGTCTTTCTGTGAATGTCTCCAAAAAGTCTTTTAAGCGTCTTAAGTGCTTAATGTAACTATTTTTTTCCAGTTAACGTTCAAAGTTATATTTTAGTTTTCAATAGGGGAATCCCTACTCGAGAAGCATTGCTTTTTGGGTTCTCCGTCCACATCATTATGAATGACTCCCTAATATAATTATATGTATTGAAAATGTGTCAAGTTATGTGGGAAAAATTATAATGAATGAATAAAAAAACCACAAGTTATGCCCATTTTTCCTTCTCAGGGTGTGCAGTTGAAAAACTGCAACCCTGTTGGAAGTACTGCATGATTATGTGGGTGAATTTGTGGGTGTGAAATTCGATGTCCATGTATACATTCATTTCAAAGGTTGTTTCAGGCATGTCAGGGATGGAATGACTTTCCCTGTGTTCAGCTTGGTCTTGAGCTCAACTATATGGGTGCGCCAATCATGAAAAAATTCACACGTACATGTATATTTAAAAAGGATGTTTTTTCACTTTCTATGTGGAATTTCTTACCGAAAATCTGAATCACTTTGCATATTGTGACCTTGAATTTGTAATCATGTGCCACAAAAATTGGTGTCGCTCCCTCTGTTAATTTTCTGTGGATAAAATCAGAGGTGCACCCCAAAGGATTTGTCATTAGTGAAGGCTGGGGCCAGACTTTCTTTGCCGCTAACAGCTCATACTGCTCAAGGACCCCCCCTCGTCGTCCCAAGAAGACTTGGATGTTTGGCTTCATCTGAGACTAGCTTGTAGTTGCGGGTGTAGGCGTACTTAACATCTTAGTTTTTCAGGAAATAATAAAATTGAAAAACGGGGGGGGGGGACTCACGCCCCCTGCCCCACCCCTCGTGAAAGCAACTCTCCAAAATGCATTAGAAAGTTGCATTTACACATGTAGATGCTTGAAAATTTTTTTTCTTTTAAGTCACAATGCGGACTAATACACAGATTGATAATACAACATACAAAGATCAATGCAAAACCACTCTCTGCTGTATACTCTCTGTATTTATTGCAGTGCAAATCGTTCAAAATGCAGATGCTTTGTGTTATGGAAACAGAAATACATGTATCCGGTTTGTGTTCAATCCAACGTTACAATACATGCACTTTGATAAATTCAGTTCTGTTGGTCTACTGTTGAGGTGCGGGTGGTTGGCAACTGCCTTATTCCTTGTCACCCACTGGGATCTTCTTGGTACCACGCAGACGACCGGTACGACGGGCAGCAATCAGACCGACCTATGAAATGAGACACGCAAAAAAAAGCAAAGACAGAGAATGTGTAAATAAGCAATTTTACATGACAAAACATCATACATCATTTTTAGCTGCCAGAGTAATCGTCCAGTCTGCTACCTTTTTAAACGGTCAATGCCTAAGTGTTTCTCATTCAAGTTCATTCTAGAACTCCTGTTGGTTTAATTTTCCGTGATCGCTAGGTTAATTTATTTAAATGTACTTGTATCTGTTCATTCAACAGCACATTCAGCGCCAATTACAGGATGAAGTGATAATTGAGAAGATATTGAAGAGATGTTCAGTTTTCAGAGGTGGCAGGAAAACACTGGATGAATATTCCAGGGAAACCCATGGAATCAGGAAGGGACTGGAAACCCAGTCCACATGCTGACCTAGGTGGGATTCAAACCCGGGTCACAGAGGTGGGTCCCGGGTGGAAGGCAAGGAAAGAACCACAACACCAAGCTGACACTTTTATACATGTAAATACACAGTTTAAGATGCGTTAGTGAAGCCAGGCATACTTTTATTATCTGAAATGGATCTTAAATCCCGACAACATACCAAACTCATATTTGAAATAGACAGTTCATGTAGACATACAGGCTTTTGACTTTTATGCCTTGTTGAAAAGATTACATCTACTAAACCAAGATGAAAATAGATTTTGCATGCCAAAATCAATCAGAACAAGTGGTAAGATGAATAGATTTGATATAAAAATCAAATCTGCTGTTTCTTCCTTGTGGATTTTTATCAACATGAATAATTTAAGAGCTCTTATACATGTATATCCGACATAAAACCAAACTTTACCAAAGACTGGAAACAGAAAGGGACAGATCTCAGATGTTTAAAAAGTGAGGGTTGGGAAAGGAACGGAGGAAAGCAAATCAAAAACGGAGAAACAAAAGGATCAATGCCCAGAACATTTCTTTACCTTGCGACCAGCTGAGGTGTCTCTCCTGACGGTGGACGGTGCACCGATGTGCTGATGGTTACCACCACCGTGGGGATGGTCCACAGGGTTCATGGCCACACCTCGCACACGCGGCCAGCAGTTACGCTTGGCTTTGTACTTGTGGTACGCTCGGCCGGCCTTCAGGAGGGGCTTGTCAATACGACCACCACCAGCGACGATTCCTGAACACAACAAGCATGGAGGAACCAAAAAATTCAAAACTGAACTGAATGGCAAAGATACTGGCTGTGGCCACCAGGCCTAGGTGGGTATCTCTTTTCTAGTATGTGATGAGATTGGATTCAATAATTTCTATGCTGGGCACTTTCCGGGATCTTAAAATAGGCAGAGGGCTGTAGGCTGTGACCTCATGACCTGGCTGTACTTGCCAGACAGGAAGACAGGCCTGATACTGGCCTGGAGTAACCTGAATACCAGGCAGGCATTATACAGGGCGGACTACCGGAGGGCCCTTTTCAAACCGGGTCTAAATGGTTGCCAGCCCTTAGCCGCTGGGAATGCTGCCTAAACTACCCGGCTGCGGCTCTTGTTAAAAGCCAGGACATCATGACAGTCTTGCTGGAACACATAGTGCCTTCTTGGTGGACAACTGGACTCATTTACACTGGATCCGGAAATGTATGTCCTTAATGCTGGGTTTCGCCCTTAAGTAACATTACTTTTCGAGTCCTGCACGATTGGTCTTTTGGTGCAGGGAGGGGAGGGACTCATATAGAGCATGAATCACATTGAGCACAGGTGTGAGTCTCATCCGAATATTTGTGAATCCATTATCTAATGGGGGTAAAAATCAAAGAGCACTGACTATACGGTGCTAGTGATAATGTTGAACATCAAAACATGTACTGAAAATAATGAATACACACGTATTTTCTACATAGTCAACATGAATCGTTAACCACTTCATGCCAGGGCATTTTTCAATGTTGATGATACTGGGGCGGCATGACTATCATTTTTTCAAAATCCTTCAAAAATTCATCATTTCATTTAACGGTCATTTATAGCCGCACGAAGTAATCTTTAGGCACTAATAAAAGTTGACAGGTGATCTTCATTGACGCTAGGCC